GAGGGAGAGCCTCAATCCTAATGTGGCTAATTATCATCTCGAACCAACTGTTTATCATCGCTTTAGTAAACTATTGCCTCACCAACTAGCTAATCACACCTCATACAAATTCTTCATTTTGGTCCTCAACTTACAAGTATTAGTAGGTGTTCTACATATCATTCCATTAAGAATCACGCTATTGTTACAGAAGAATTTTATCTGTAAAAACAAAAGATAAGACACATTGGGGTGGCCTATTTTATTCACATGAGACCCACCCCCATGTACTCATATGTAAAATTTACAGAACAAATAGTTCTGTACAATGAGTAAAATCCTTCCATTAATTAAGATAGATTCTTACGCGTTATTCACCTATCTGTTATTAAGAAAAATCACTTCCCGTCCAATTTACAAATGTTAAGCATGTTGCTAGCTAAGAGAAAAATAAAATAAAAACAAAAACAAATTGCTAACAAGAGGGGAAAAAATCTTCATCAAGTTAAAGGAGTCTATCTGCATGCAAGTTTACTTATTTCCATTTTCAGATCCCTATTCCCTAAGTATTCATAAGTTAACCAATAAAATTCACAAAAAGTGGTGCCCGAGCGAAATTCTGCGAAAAGAGTCTGTATCGTTAACTGTTAATTTTTAGTGCTATTTGTATCAATTTCCTAGAATTTTTATTACTATTTATCCATCTTAAATATTTGATTTTGAAGTCTTTGTTGACCCCGAAAAATGGTTCGAATACGTGGCCAACATAATAAGTCTTCACGTTAGCTTTTCCCTGCGCACAATAGCATACCGTTAGTCACTCGTGGCCTTTTTCGGTGGGGTTGGAAGCGGCCGCGAGCACTCCGACGGTTAAGTCAATGTTTCAGATAGTCGGGAAGTTATGTCCGACGGCGAGGTGGTCACCGGGATACTTGAGTATATGTTGAAAGTTATGATGTAAGCTAACCAATTTTTTTTTTTTTATAATCTCCCTCACTCTTACCAGTATGGGTGTATTTATTCTAGGAAAAGGAAGAGGTGGACCGTTGGATGAAAGGACACGTGTCTTCAAATCCTATATGAGTCATTATCTCATAGGCGTCAATCCGTCAATCCATAGTTGGCGGATATTAAATGGTTTTTGACATGTCAGCTGAATTGACCGTTTGTGACCTATCACATGTCCCATCAATTAATCAGAGACTTGACTTTGGAGATCTCCTAAAAGACCTTGGCGAGGACGTGGCGATGAGGATTGCGAAGTGTTGAGTGTGGGCCTTTGCATCCGTCGTGAGGGGCGAATGAGTTGTGGAATCAGTTCGTCCTACATGCATTCAGTTCGTCTGCCACGCGATTATGCCAGATCGGTTCGAAGTTATGGAATCAGTTCGTCTGCTACGCGACAATACCAGATCGGTTTGGAGTTATGGAATCTGTTCGTCCTACATGCATTTAGTTCGTCTGCCACGCGACAATGCCGATCGGTTCGGAGTTATGGAATCAGTCGTCCTCCTACATTTAGTCCGTCGCCGCGTGACAATGCCAGATCGGTTCGAAGTTATGGAATCAATTCGTCCTCCATACATTCAGTTCGTCTGCCACGTGATAATGCCAGATTGTTTCGGACAACACGTGGCCGATGAGGTGAGTGAATGAGGTGGAGGGCTTCAGAAGACCCGTAACAACAATCTTAGTGAACTTTTCATATTTTGTTGCTTAGGACCTCTGACTCCTCCAAAACTTTGAGTCTTGTTCCTATAATATTAACAAATATTAGAGGACGTGTCGTGGTTGATGAACGAGAGCTCTTTAGTCTATAAGTCAAGAAATGAAGTGAACATATGCGAGAAAAAACGCAACAATATTAAAATTGTTGAATGATTTTTAAATTATTCTACATGTTCTGGACACTCGTTATTGTAGGGATCACACAACATCTCAACTCTTCATGGTTATTGAATGATGCTAAGCAATGTTGGGATCTTGCTTTCGTATGTGTGTTTGCTCTTTATGATTATTGAGAGGTGCTAAGGAGTGTTGGGATCGTGCTCTTGCCTGCATTTGGTGTCACAAGATTCTTCAATGGGTTAAGAATTGAAATGATCAAGACTTTGCGATACATATTCGTGTGCCATAACTTTAAAATAGGGTTCGGATGGTGATGGGACGATATAAGCCGAGTATTGGTAGTTACGAAGATGGTCTGGTTTGTACTTGGCCATTTTATACGACTTATTGAATACATACCATAGAAGTTTAAAATTCAAAAAATAAGAAGGATGAAGACATGGATTTAAAAGAAAGAGTATAATGAGGAACGTAAAAAATATATATTTATACAGTTTTGCATTGTAGATGGTACATTGAAGTTTGGTGTAAAGTTGAAAATGACATGACGGTTATGTGCTTTGTAACGATAGGATAGTCACTAAAGGTAACTTGAACTTTACAAAATGCTAAAAATAGTCTTTAAATCACTAAAGTATAATCTACAAACAATAAACTACATAAATTTTATTTGTGAGAGTGTGGCATGACAAAGATCATGATAGGGCCTGATGAGTCGGAGCGATGGCCATAGACAATTTCAATTTATTTTTCATTGTTTGATAAATCCTGGACGTAGAATTCTTGACTTTTGCTGTTTAGTTTATCATTTATCATTTTTTTTTTTTACTGAAAAACGGTAAGTATCACTACGGTAGAAGTTTGAAAAACTATACGGAATTCAAATCTTTCATCCCTTCACCCCACTCTCGAAATAGGCTGTGTTGAAATTGCAATTATTGCTTTTGAGTTATTAAAGTTTGACATATTCTCAATACCCTTTTCAATACTTGATTAGAGTCTGATAAAATCAAGGAGGGGAGTTCTGATATGGAGCTAGAAATGAGCAGAGAATGAACTAAAAAATAGAGGATAAAAAAGGGGATAAGGACCTACTCAATGCAGGGAAGAAGATGAAATTCATAGACAATTTCAATTTATTTTTCCTTGTTTGATAAATCCTGGACGTAGAATTCTTGACTTTTGCTGTTTAGTTTATCATTTATCATTTTTTTTTTTACTGAAAAACGGTAATTATCATTACGGTAGAAGTTTGAAAAACTATACGGAATTCAAATGTTTCATCCCTTCACCCCACTCTCGAAATAGGCTGTGTTGAAATTGCAATTATTGCTTTTGAGTTATTAAAGTTTGACAAATTCTCAATACCCTTTTCAATACTTGATTAGAGTCTGATAAAATCAAGGAGGGGAGTTCTGATATGGAGCTGGAAATGAGCAGAGAATGAACTAAAAAATAGAGGATAAAAAAGGGGATAAGGACCTGCTCAATGCAGGGAAGAAGATGAAATTATTTATTCATACTTGCTTAGGGAAATTACAAGGCAACTAATCTATTTATAGAGAAAAACTAACAACCTATCTAACAAGATAACAAACTAAGAACAATCTAGAATCTGTAAGAAGAAGGATCTGAATTCTGGACTGGTTTGCTGAGTTGCTGGTTTGCTGTTGAGCTGCTGATGAACACGTGATTGTTGGTGAACTGATTGGCTGAGTTATTTTGCTGTTTGGCTGCTTGAACTGGAGACATGAGTTTAGTATTCCAACAGAGTCGACTAACTATAAAAAACACTTTTCACGATTACCAATATATTCCTTATTTGTATAGTTGTTCTATTTTTTTTTTCTAGGATTTGACATCATACTCAATTAATTGAACATTAATTTATAGATTCTTAACATAAAATGTATTTATAAAAGTAAAAGTTCAACCGTAGCAGTTATAAAAATATAGATGTTTTTTATTTGACAGTGACCAATTCAAGGAAAAAAAATGAGAATTACAACGTTAGATGTTGAGATTTTTAATTTAGTTTTATTTCGAAGATTCCGATTATTGACTAAGAAAATTTCAACAATGAAAAATCATTTCCCAGCCTTTCTCTCTTTTGAAGGGATGTTTCAAATTTACAGTCCCTCAAATGTAATCTCGACATATTATTTTTTTTCTTAATAAATGAGAAAACTTCGAGTTGTAACGTCTTTCCATTTATTAAGAAGAGATAATATGTCACTTTACTTACTACCTTTTCCCTTTGAATTTTTTAATTTCTTTCCGCTCCCTTGGTTAAAATTTCCTTTTCGATATTTTATTTTACTCGAGAAGACAATTTCTTTTGTTTCCAAAAAAAAAAAAAACAATGGGCCGTAAAAATCATTTCTCACCCCCTTTTTCCCTTGCATTTTCGTCCCATTGGTCCCTTTTCCTTTCACTTATTACTGACTATGATTTCACTTCTTTTTCGCGGCGTGTTTGGCAAAACTTAAATTATAATTTAAGTTAACCAAATTTACTTTTTATCCACATATGTCGTAGTATTCATAATTTACAATCCATTTACTATCCACCACTCCAATAAGCACGATCGAACGAGCACGTCTCAAATCCAATTTTTAAAAATATAATCGTAAAAAAAAAAATCAATTGAATTGTTTAAAATTTATTTTCTTTTCATACAAATTTCGAACTCGTTGTCAAACGCACACTTATAATTTTATAGTAAACATTGTTTTCATCTCTCACTGTGAATCTTTGATAAAACTAACTATTCTATTAAGTAACGGATGGAAAATGGGATCGGGTCGGGTCTCGAAAATCATTTTCCCTTGGATTTTCGGTTCATTTATTTCTGTTTCTTTCACCACACACTCTTTTTTATCCGTATCTATATATGTTCTATTATATAAAAATATATATGACTGGGATTTTACTTTCATTCTCTTTTTTTATCGTTTTCTCGCCGTTGATCTGTTGATTCTCACTTTCTCTCTCTAAACTCTGGTCCTTTTCTCAGCTCTGATCTTGAGATTCGGACCGATCTGCACCGTCAAATGCTTAGACTTTAAGTGTTTGACCTAGTCTCGATCCAGTTGTAATATATACATATATACGTATAGAGAGAGAAATTAGAAATAGTGTTTTTGAGTTGACACTGAACTGCCGCTGCTGCGATGGGGCAGTGTTATGGTAAGACGATTACCACCGGAGATAATGATGTTTATGCGACGACCACCATTACAGCCACCGCTAGCGGCGATCGGACATCGGAGACTCCGGCGCGTAACGGCACTCCATCGGCGAAGAATACTCCGGGGAGATCTTCAGCCGGAAACAGTTCCTGGCCGAGTCCGTACCCGTACGGTGGAGTTGGAGCGGGAGGGACCAGTCCTCTGCCGGCGGGAGTGTCGCCGTCACCTGCGAGGTCAACACCAAGGAGGTTTTTTAAGAAGCCGTTTCCTCCGCCGTCGCCGGCGAAGCACATCAAGGCATCTTTGGTGAGGAGGTTTGGGCACGGGAAGCCGCCAAGGGAGGGGACGATTCCGGAGGACGCTGCGGGGGTTACGGAGGAGCCGGAGAGGCATCAGGCTTTGGACAAGAACTTTGGGTATAATAAAAATTTTGGGGCAAAGTATGAGCTTGGCAAAGAGGTGGGCCGAGGCCATTTTGGTCACACTTGCTATGCCAAGGGCCGAAAGGGAGAGCTCAAGGACCTGCCCGTTGCCGTCAAAATCATCTCCAAATCTAAGGTCTGTACGTGCTAGAATTAAGCATATTTTCTAGTGGAAGTTTCATTTCTCAGATAAGATAGATGTTTGATTTATATACTAGGATTATGTTTGGTGGACACGTAAGGCGAGCAGCAGTTGCAATTATAAGGTATAGTAAGAGAAAGATGGAATATAATTATATTTAGGATTGAAATGTTAGTGTCTAGAAGGTGGCTTAGTTAGCAATGTTGGATGGAAAGGTATAGACTTCAAATATTTTTGTTAAGCCGCTGTTCCAATAATCTTGGAATTGGCTCTATAGTCGAGCGCTTTATCCACAGAAGGGTTAAATGATATCAACTCTGTATTTGATTTACCTCTGCTTATTACAACTTGCTTCAAGTTAGAGTTTCGTTAAGCATACAAAAATTATGCTCAGCCATCTGACTCATTGTTCTGTTGATTTATGATCAAATAAGTGTTCCCTTCAGTAGGTGGATCACAAACAGTACGATTTCAATGAAAGACCTTTTATGATAGTAAGAGTAAACAGTTAGAATGCCCCCTATTATGTTCTGCTACTAACATAACTATCCGAAAGCTACAAATAAAGTATCCTAATTTACTTTGTGGTATAGACGACTATTTTGAGATAGACATCCTACTTCATGTATCATCATTTTTTTCCCAACTACTATTTCTAGAACATATCTAAAGCTTAGGGATTGTCTACTGATTGTCAGTAATAACAGGGCTCTGTACGTTGTAAGGGAGTTGGTATTTGTAACTCTCAAGCCATACATCAATAAACTCATGGTTGATTTTTCTGCTAGGTAAGATCTTAAATTGAAAATTATAGTGGACAAAAAGGTTAAGAAGAATAACAGCAAGGGGGGAAGGGAGAGTTATTCTGTTGCGATGAGTTTAGTATGCAAATTATGATTGTGGAGAATCTGAAAGAGGCTGTCCGCAACATTTCACAGTTGGAATATACACAGAGAGGGAGGAGGGAAGTTTCCAGATTCAATTCCATACACTATGAATAAAAGCTTTTTGCTGTGTTATGCACATATGGCAACTATAAATGCGGGAAAATAAAGGAACTATCCATCCTTCAATGGTGCAGAGCTCTGGTGGAAAAGGTGTTGTAAGAATTGATAGAGCTGGGTGAAAAAGAGTTGGGTGTGTGTTTCTATGGGCAAGTGTAGTCTGTCTTTCTTTAATCCTCTATTTGAATGCTTTTATTGCATTGAAAGTGATGAGATGTACATAACTTTTTGCTTATTAAAAAACAGGGCAAATTTCACCCACACATACTATTTGGAAAAAAAATGCAGTCATTTGTTAGCTTGGGGATATTTCCACGGCTTAACATACTGACCCTTGCACTTCCATTCAACAAGCCAGCTTCCCAGTGAATAAAAAAATTTTGGTTCAAAGTTGAGCAAATTAGTTCTGTAATTTACAAGACCACATAAAGCAGGATCTCTTCTCTAGGATGCCCTTTAGCTTAGTGGCATGTGCCTGGGAAACTGGGAATAAGTCTTTTCTTCCTATGGTACTATATGGTTTCAAAGCACACAGGTTGTCATAATTTGTTGATCCATGAGCTCTACGTCAAATTTGAGTTCTAACATGCATTGAATTTAATTTGGCTTGTTTGCCTTGGAATTGTTGTATAAGAGCCATTATGATCTGTTTTTTTTTTATTTTATGATGTCTCTAGAAGAAAAATGATATATCATAATGATCCCAAATATCTATCTGGCTTATCATTGGTTTTGAGTGAAACATGGAAATTGTTAAGTAACCTGTTACCCGGATTAAAACTCCACAATACAAGTATCAACCTGCCTATTGTCTTCTTTAGACTTTGTAGCATGTTTGTTTCTTTTTCTTTTGCCATAGTTGGACTTGGCCTCAGGATAATTTTTTAAGAAAATATGGAAATCTAGACTTTGTTTCCGATTATCAACATCTTATGACTTATTCATAGTGTATCCAAAAAATCATGGTAAAACAACAATAACTCCTTCCTCTTCCTTTATTGATAACTTTGTTGTTAAATGTTGATTGCCATGAGATATCAGAGTATCTAAGCTAGGCAAGAGAGGTCTGCTCTCTTCAGATCTTCATAATGTACTAGAATCTAAATGTGACTGGTATAAGACAAAGTGAGATTGACTGAGAATTAATTTTAGAATTAATGAAGATTAAAGAGTTCTAAACAAAATGACAAAAGTGTAAAGAGAGAGATATGTTCTGGGCGTTTCCTGATGGGCTAAACCATGCGAAAAAAGAAAGTCTATCAAAAAAAGTTGAGCATTAAAGATCTAAATTTCTTCTTGTAGAAACTTGATTCTCAGTTGTTCATAGCACCATTTACTTGGTTGAGCATTAAAGATCTAAATTTCTTCTTGTAGAAACTTGATTCTCAGTTGTTCATAGCACCATTTACTTGGTGTATAAATGGCTTATTGCAAGTGCGCACAAGCTAACATGAAATGAAAATGCGTTAAAAATGCCGATGAATTCTTCAATTTCACCTCTTTTAAATCAAGCGTTCAAATTTGAGAAACCTAAATTAGAGAACTTGTTTCAAGTTTAGACAACTATGTTAAGAGTTTTATGCTCTCAATTTTCTGCAGTCTGATAGTTCTTTTCCTTTATTTGATATGCATTTAACTGAACAACTTTATTTGTCAGATGACAACTGCAATATCCATTGAAGATGTTCGAAGAGAAGTGAAAATTTTGAAAGCACTTTCAGGCCATAAGCATCTAGTTAGATTTTATGATGCTTGTGAGGATGCCAACAATGTGTATGTAATAATGGAGTACGTATTTCCTTATCTTCTAAAGTTACACTTGTTTATGCACGGATTTTGTGAAATTGATCTGTCTGTTATTGTCATTCAGATTTTCTTTGAAATCAATGCAGCGGAAGTGTGAAAATAGTAAATCAAAGACGATTCGAATGAATATAGAGAATAAGATATGAAAACAGAGAAAACTCCTAAATGGAACTTAATTCAATTCAACCTGGCGGTCTTTATATCAAAACCCTACTTTAATTAAATTATAAAACAACCCACAAAATAAAGAAAATTATAAGAAAAGGCACAACTCCTGAGACAATGGAAAAGTTCAGTTTGACACCCAAAATGATGTATTTGGCCAGAATCCCACCATTTCTGATTTAAACAGAGGTAATATTCACCCAAATCCGAAACCATTGACTGAAACTGGTCAAAGACAAACCGGGCCTGCTAATGTATTCTTTTGGGCCGTATGATCGCCTCGACAGTGGATGTCAGACAACTTGTGCTCAGTTGGACATTGTTAATTTTTGGTTTCTGTCTTGCTTAGATATTATGTTGTGCTTTCCTTTTTTAAAGGATTTTGGAGTTTGGTTTGAGGACTATATTTTAGCCAGCTCTATCAAAATCATTTTGGTTTTTTTAGCTTTTCCATATTTGGGTCAACCTTTGGTAAATAGATGTCCTACAATAAGTTAGTGTTACTGGTTTACTTTTACTTTACTAATTTTTACCGAAGAGCTATTAGTTGTACCTGTTATTCTTTGTGTCTCTTTGCTGTATGATGTGAATAATTTAAGCCACTTATTAGCTCTTTTCTTTTCTTGTAGGTTGTGTGATGGCGGAGAACTACTGGACAGAATATTGTCGAAGTGAGTGAAATTACTCTCTCTGTAGCTGACATATAGGCCTCAGGACATCCATATATGGGTGACAAAAAATGTTTTTTTCTCTTCTGATATTTTCCATGTTTTGATGTATGCTGTTTGTAACTGTTACTCATCCATTGCAGAGGCGGTCGATATACAGAAGAGGAAGCAAAACTTATCGTTGTTCAGATTCTAAGTGTAGTTTCATTCTGTCACCTCCAAGGAGTTGTCCACCGTGACTTAAAACCTGAGGTATATTGAGAGCCTTTATCACCCAATAATTCTTTGATGCTTTTGTTAAATGGTCATTTATCTGCTAAGCTTCTCGTTGATGTTGATTGAATTGCTTGTATTGCAGAATTTTCTTTTTACCTCTAGAAGCGAAAACGCTGATATGAAGCTTATTGATTTTGGTCTTTCTGACTTTATCAGGCCGGGTAACTATCATATGAAATTCATCTTTTTTCCTCTTTTCTTAGTTTATCATACTAAGTCAATTTGACTTCCATATATGGCTTGTCAATATCCATTTTTTCTACATCTCTTTGCAATCAAATTTAGTAGAAATGCTCGACGCCACACTGTCAAACTTTACGGGCATCAAGAGTGTCATATTGCTTGTTTGTTGGTGTATGCCACTTGTTGCTTTTGTGCTTTCATATCATTGCAATAACCAACATCATTTATTTTCAATTTCAATAGAATGGCTGAGATGTTGGCATGCTTTAAGTACAGATGAAAATAAATTAGGTTATGATAGGTTTGTTTGTCAGTTTACTTTTTACCTGATGACGGTAATTTGTTGGAAAGCATCTCTAGTTTAATGCCTTAAATCATTTGTGAGTTATTTGCTGACGAAGTGAACCAAAGACTCCTAGAAACCTAAGCCTAGCTATGGGCGAGTAGATATTTTGCTGGCATTTTAAATTTTCACTCTGCAGCCTGTCTTTTTGCCGAGCATGACATTCTACTAATTTTTTGTAGTTTGTGTGATAAAGCAGTAATTAACTTATTATAAGTGTTATTTTCTGTTGTCCAGTTTCAAAAATTTTCTAACGTTGGTATTTGATTCATGATGTTTGTTTTTTACCTATTTCTCAAAATAGACAAAGTAGACTTAAATAGAATGATGCTTCTAGTGTTGGTCCAATATGCTAAGAAGTTGTATGAAAAAGAGAGGTTATTATTATCTTGGGCATATCATTCCTTTTTAATCAACAACAGTCTTTTATAGCTTTGATTGTTATGGTGTACCCTGAGAATATTAAAAAAAAAAAAATCATCTCTTTTGCCATCCAAAACAATTGTTTCTGCAGATGATAGACTAAATGATATTGTTGGAAGTGCTTATTATGTGGCACCAGAAGTACTCCATAGATCTTATAGTTTGGAGGCTGATATTTGGAGCATTGGTGTTATCTGCTATATTTTGCTATGTGGAAGCAGACCTTTTTGGGCAAGGACAGAATCTGGAATATTTCGTTCAGTATTAAGGGCTGATCCAAACTTCGAGGACATGCCTTGGCCTTCTGTCTCACCACAAGCCAAGGACTTTGTAAAAAGGCTTTTAAACAAGGATTACAGAAAAAGAATGACCGCTGCTCAAGCTTTGAGTAAGTAATCTGCTTCTTTTAATGCTGTGTAGAATTCCTCGACAGTGCCAAATTTCACTTGCTTATGTAATTCTGTGGATCTTTTAATTGATGTAGCTGTCGAGGATGTTAATTTTGCTTTTTACATATTTCACTGGAAGTTGTTGCTGGAGGTCATTTATTCAATTTTATGTTTCTTTCTTGGGGAGCTCTAATCATTTCTTGAAAATACTGTAATCACTGAGGAACTGTCATCTACATTTCTTTGTTGATTCACAATTCACTAGTTCTTTATACTTTTCTTGTCAATACATGAACTGATGCAAACCTATTGCAATGCAGCACATCCATGGTTGCGCAGCGAGAGCCTTCCTGTTCCTTTAGATATATTAGTCTACAAATTGGTTAAGTCATATTTACTTGCTACACCTTTCAAACGTGCAGCGCTAAAGGTATTGTTTTATTTGATCGGCATAATTCATAATTTCTTTTGCAAGATACGAGTATTTGAATCAGNATAATTTATTTTTATTGTCCATATTCATTATATTTAAACAAATAAATTTAGTTGCTATTTTCTATTAGAACTAACGAAAATGTTCATTTAAAGTATTGAATTCTTAAAAAAAAAAAAATTTTTTTTTTTAACGGGGCGGGGACCCCGTTACCAGTCCCCGCCCTGTCCCCGTCTCGGGGAATAATTCCCCGCCCCATCCCGGCCCCGTTACCCATTTAAGCGGGTTTTCCCCTCCCCGTTCGGGGCGGGTCCCCGCGAGTATCGGGTTTGTCGGGTTTTTTTGCCATCCCTATGTTGGATTGAAGGCACATGGTCAACTTAGGGCTCAACTCTCTGGGTGTTAAAGTAAAATATGATCATCTAGACTTTAAATTCGGTACAGGCACTGGCTGAATTGCATGAGTTGCATACGGCTTATCAATTTTGCATCAGAGTCAATCCTCAAATAATCAAATGACCAAGGAGATTGGAAAATTATTAAGTTAAAACTTTACACACTTCCGTTGATCAACATTTCTTTACGTTCATATGATTTTGAAAGTGTAGTTAATATATTAGTTTCCTAATATGCCCCTATTTAACGTGCTTTGTTATCACAAATATAAACTACTCCATTATTCAATTGTAGTTGGAACGCTAAATTAAAAACCAAAAAAAATTTCATCTTCCATTACATTTATTCATTTGTAGTTGTATTAGATGACTTTGGAATGTTAATTATCTTGATTCTTGCATTAAACAATAATTAGTACCAAGAATAGTTTAATTACCTTGAATATTGCATGCGTAATTTAATTACCTTGAATATTGATTACATTAATGTAGGGCAGTAGGGGTATATTAGAAAAATTGATAGTAAAATTAATTATTTTCAACTATATTTATCATTCATTGGATAGGGATGTACCAATAATTTTTGCTCAGAGTTCTCTTGCAATGTTAAATGGTTTCATTGCTTGCTATATTTTGCAATGCTTTATTAACCGAAGTATTATTTTCTCTTTCATGATGCCGTCTTCAATCGTGCTGCTTTTTACCTACTGATATATCAATAAGAGCATTTCTTCTTGCTCCAAAAAATGGGTTTTCATCATTTTCCCCCTGTTAAATATAGGTGTTATATTTTTGAAATAATTGAAAAGAAAATGACTTATAACATTTTAGTAACTAAAAAATCACATATTTTCAACATCAGAATGGATTACGTATTTATTGCCTATTATCATATCAAATTGCCAAAATGAACTCGTTTACCTTGTTGGCTGAAATTGCTCCATTTTTATATTCAGTCCTTCAGCTGTAAGATAACTTTACCTTGAGCTATAAAGTAACATTTCGATTTGTTTCTACTATACTTGCAGGCTCTATCTAAAGCTTTGACTGAGGATGAATTGGTGTATCTCAAAGCTCAATTCATGATTCTGGAGCCTAAGGATGGGCTGGTCTCTGTTGACAACTTCAAAATGGTCTCTCTCTCTCTCTCTCTCTCTCTCTCTCTCTCTCTCACACACACACACACACCCACACCCACACCCACACCCACATCACTCCCTTCCTACTCATGTATCCTATGCAAGATCATTGTATTTTTATCTTTTAAAGAGAGTCCTTACATAGTACTGGTAATTTGGTGAAAGTGATGAACCCAATTAATCCTGTTTGGAAACTGAAAGGTACTTATATTCATTTGGAAATTACATCAAACTACTTGGAGGAACTATTTTAGGAGAAGTTCACCGGTCCGAGTTTTGCTTTATCTTCTTACTACAATGTTTGTTTTTAATGAACTTCTAAGAAAAAATGAAAAGAAGAAAGAGTTTATTCCTCGATTGATTTAGAGAGATTATTTTATGGTTTTCTGGTTTTGGGTCATGAAATTAAATTGATGCTGAAAGGAGGATGCTACTTGAATTTCAGGCTCTTGCAAGAAATGCCACCGATGCTATGAAGGTGTCTAGGGTTCCTGATATTCTACGCACGGTCAGCTTCTGCACTTGTTTATTTTTATGAGAAATATATCTAGCATATTTCAAATAATTTTCTATTGTTTATTCATCTTTCTTTTTGAGCTAGATTTTTAGTTGTGTAATCATAGCTACATATATGGTCAGATACTTTGTCCACTATGGAACATTCTCATTTTTGTATGGAAAACTACACTATTTCATCAAATAGATAAATCTTAATTACCATAGATACTTATAATGCATAATCCCAGCCACTACTTTGAAGATAAAAATGTAAAGTAACACATCAAATGCTCACCTTTTCAACTGTCTTTGAAAACTTCATGCCAAATGAGTTGGACAAATGGAATCCCAGACTGTTATTGTGATTTTTTTTTTCCCTTTCTTTCATCACAGTAACTTGACCCTTTTAATGAGGTCTTTTTCATTTTTCAGATGGCACCATTGTCTTATAGGAAGATGGACTTTGAAGAGTTCTGTGCAGCTGCAACCAGTACGTATCAATTGGAGGCCCTTGACAAATGGGAGCAAATTGCATCTACAGCATTTGAGTATTTCGAACAAGAGGGTAACCGAGTAATATCAGTAGAGGAATTGGCTCGGGTATCTACATTTATGGTTTTACGAGTTTTGTATAGCTCGATAATTCTGCTTGATTTATACATGCATATATTAATCTAAGAGGTCTTTAAGTTTGTGCCTTATTTTTGCAGGAGTTGAATGTGGGCCCGACTGCTCATTCTGTGCTCAAAGATTGGTTAAGGAGTGACAGAAAACTCAGTTTACTTGGATATACCAAATTTTTGCACGGTTTGACATTTCGTAGCTCAAATACAAGACATCATTAGCTTTTCCGTCCTCGTTTTCCTTCTTCTTTTTCATCTTATTTTCTTTAAATTATCATTTGATCAACAATGGCAATTAAAGGTTCGTGCATTCAAAAGATCGTGGAAGTTTTTACATTTAGGATTGGGAAAAAGGTCTATTACAGATGTACTAGGTAACTAGAATGATGTTTAGGCTGTTTGAAGTCGAGAATTTCTTCATGCCTCTTCCATTTACATGTGCAGTAACTGAAACTGTACGTGTTTTTGTCCGTCAAAGAAGTATTCTCAAGTTTTCAACAAATATAAAAACGAGGATCTAAAACTGTGTCAATAGTTCACTTTGTAGATTTTTGTCCATTACTATTACTACTGGGATTTCAGTACTTGTTTAGCAGTCAAGATTGTGTATATGTTACAAAGATTAGCAGCATATCTGCGTTATTTTTTAATCTTCAGTATTCTTTTTCCTTGTACAGAATTAATATACAGGAAGCATTACAGATGCAGGTGGCAGCACTGCATTGGCTGCCGCAAAACTGTTTTTTGTTCAAGGCCATGAATGCTCGCCACCTGTGTACCTGCTGTCTGTACATGCAGCAAAGTTGTTTCTTTAATCATGTTTAAGTCTGATCGTTCCATCATCAAACGTGTTTAGGAAGTTCGTGAAAAGTGGATGTGACCAAAAAAAAGATTTTTTTTTTCCTTTGAAAAAGGGAATAAAGGATTTCATAATTCTCCCCCCAAAGAGAGGCTTGAATCTGGGTCATCTGTCTAATAAGGCGTTCTTACCACTATCATCATGACGTGGCATTGAAAAGGAAAGATTAAAATAAGGATAATTATATTCAGAATACAATTTTTATTTCTTGCCCTACGTTTTAATTTCACCTAATATTCTTAATATTTGTTCATTATAATACTCATGTTCCTAATGATTTTTAATGTTATTCTTATTATGAAACTTTCCATTAATTATAATATTTTATATTTGATAACAGTTTTATGTTCAAAAGTTCATTAAAATGGTGTAAAACAATTTATTATTCATCATATTCTTATAGAAATAAATAAATAAATAGTGAGAAAAAAATATTTTTCCCCCATTTCAAAACATAAAAATAAAATATTTTGATATAAATCATCATCAAGGACGAGACATAATAATTAATGGGAGGTTGAAGATAAGAATTCGACGAAAAAAGGTTAAGAAAATAATTGCTACAATAAGCAAAGATTTGTAATTAAAATATTGTATAACAAATAAAAAATGTGGTGGTAATATAACCACCCTGAAAGTAATTTTGTTTTTTTAACCATCTAGTCTGGATTAAAGATGTCCGTGTACGTTAATAATATTTGTATGAGCATCTCCCTTGGATCGGTCCTGTGCTCCTTTGTGTTAGTGTGACAATTGAAATTTTTCTATGGCTAAATATATTCATATTACAAATTTTAATAACTAGACTACATCTTAATTGTATTAAAGGTTCATAACCTTTACACATTTTCATATTTATGTTTCAAATTTTTTTTTCATCGCATGTTTATTCTTAAGTTAACATAATTTCTTCCAAATAAAAGATTCTCTCCAAAATTTTATACCATCTTTTAGACGTCTCTCTAATCATAATCTTCTATTTTCACAAACGTGTATCCAATTATTTCAGGAAGGAAATGTTATCGAATTTCGACCAAATTAATGAATGAAGAACAACAAACACAAATATAGCACATAAGGTATTCTAGTGGTACACGAACTGTAGAAGTTCAATGGTATTTTTTTCATCAAATAGTTGGATACGTGCTTGCAAAAATGGAAGATTGTGATGAGAGAGACGTCAAGCAGATAGTACAATTGAGGTATAGAGCTTTATAAATAGCATTTTTTCGCATCCTTCTCAACATTCAACTCTATCTTATCACACAATTTAACTGTATGTAGGTGAGATGAGAAAATTGGGGACTAGAGTTTTTTAGGTTTGAAATTGGGGACACTTTATTCGATTTTAAAAAAGTTCACGAAGTCATGAAAGTCGCGTTTCATATATGATGAGTTGATGATTTAGCTAAGTTGTAATTTTTTTAATGATTGTAACTTGTCACATAAGATTTTCGTAGTATACATTAACAATGAAGGGAACGAAAAATGATGGATGGAGTACAACATCTCAAAGATAAGTGACCATTGTGAAGCATTTTGAAGTTTGATGAGTAAACTGTGACTAAGTGTAAGTTGGATGAATAGTGAAACAATGATTTAGTTCAGTTGTAATTTTGTTAACTGACGCTAACCCATGTATGAGATCAGTGTGGAAATCGTGGAATTAAATGAAAACGCCGGGAAAGCCAAAATTCAGGCTGTAGACGGTAGAATTTCGACCCGCAAATTATTGAACCAAGCAACTAAACAAAAACAAAGTTTGAATGATCACTTGATTACAAAACCTACGAACCTCGATTTGCGAACGCCACAAATGGTGCTTAATCGTTTGATAAGTTCTAAGGGTTGAACGCCACAAATATAACAATATTTAATAAGTTTGGTACATGTTCAATCAAGAACAAAAAGAGAAAAATCTCATTTAATTTATAATGTCAAAATGGTTCTTAGTTTTACAATGAAATAAATCTCATATTTATACTAATGCTAGAAACCTTAATAAAACATAATTAGGTCATAGAATATTGTCAAAGTTGGAAATAAAATAGAATCCTAGATTAACAAGGAAATCTTGCGAAAATAGGAAAATTTCGCCAACTGGTTCTCGGCATGTTTCTATGCGATCGCAAACCCAAAAGTACCATGAGCTCGGGCATCCTTGTGCGGAATTTTGTGTCATTTCCAGAATGTACTCATGGAAGAAAATCCGATAACCGAGCTGAAAGTGATACCCGTTTTCATCCACGTTGCTCGTTTTTTTTCCAAATATCTTCCAAACCTTGAATCCAACTCGTTTAAGCTCTCGAGCCCTTCACAAAACTTGAACCTTGGCTTGTCAACTTCTTCAATTTGGACTCCAAAACTCGACCAAGTGATTGCCTATCCCGGATCATATCATCCCCTCTCTCTTCGACAGGATTTCGTCCTCGAATTCGTGCCTTGTGATCGCGTAGGGGATAACAAGCCTGCTTCACAACTCATCACTGCACCACCTGGATCAAATGAAATTTTTCTCCTTCCATGGCATAGGATCAATACACAATACCCATCCATTTTGTAGGTATGGATGTATTGCGGCACAAACACAATCACCCATATATGTTGTTATATGAACTCCCACGAACAACGATCCACCTGAAAGAAAGAATTAAGCAAAACACAGTTGAATTTGTTAGCTTCCCCCTCAATGAGATATGGGTCCTTGCTTATAATGTATCGTCGCCACCATATCATGCTTAATAATGGAACCCTGCTCTTCATTCCCCACAACATATTCAACCATTTGCTAAACACATTCTACAATTATTTGCTCACCCTCTTGATGAACCATCTCTACAATTATAGTATCAGTCTGCTCGTGCTCCGGCTCATTAATTGGTTCACTATCCCTAATATCAACTGCATTTTTCAATCCACCATCCTCCATCTCAACTTCCTTATTTCTGGACTCCTCCTCCAATTCAACTCTGGTGTTCTCCTTAGGTGTGGTCATCCCCTTCTCTTACTTTTCTCGTTCTGCCTCACCTCTCACCTTCCATCGGTCTGCAAAGGATTGTTCTAGTGTTAACCCAGCCATAGTGATTTTCACCCCGTCCCGAAGAAACCTANTCTCATACTTCCAGGCCTCCCAAACAAGATATGAAAAGATTTTAATGGATCTACATCACACCAAACTTCATCACTATATCTTCAAATGGTGACATTCAATACAACCCGCTTGGGTACATCTACCTTCCCACACTCCTTCAACCAAGTTATCCTATAAGGCCTAGGGTATTATTGCAAAGGTAATCCCAATTTTTCAACTATCGTGATACCAGTCAAGTCTGATATGTACTCCTTATCAATAGCTAGACTGCATACCGTATTACCCACAAAACACCGAGTTTGAAAAATAAATCCCCAATCATCATACATTATTTACGTAGGCGTAATCAAGAAGACTCAAGAAAAGAATTGGACAATTGGATGAGTGATGAATTCAAGAAAGTGGTTCTTGAATTTTTGGATTAGAATGAATATAAACAGATTTTGAATTTTGGATATATAATATGATAGTGTCAAGTTCCCAAATAAATCAAGTAAATAATTTTTTTTTTGATTAGTGACGACGTGAACAGTACCAGTGAACGATTTTTTTTTTTAAAACTCGAAAATTGATTACCATATCAACGAAACAAATGGAAGTTGATTTGGATGCATGATTAGCTCCAAAAACAATTTTGACTCTTTTTTTTTTTGGAATTTTTTAGATTAAAAACTTAAAATTTACGACGGACACGAAGATCAAAAATAAAAGACTCAAAAGAAAAAAAGAATAGAACCTGAATTTGAAGCCCAAAATCTGATACCAAATGAAGCGAATTCGGGTACGGGATCAGCGTGGAAATAGCGAAATCAATTGAAAACGTCGGGAAAGCCCAAATTCAGGATATAGATGGTAGAATCTCGATCCGCAAATTATTGAACCAAGCAACCAAACTAAAACAAAGTTTGACCTCTTGATTACAAAACCAACGAACCTCGATTTGCGAACACCACAAAGGATGTGTAATCCCTTGATAAGTTCTAAGGGTTGAATGCCACACATATAACAATATTTGATAAGTTCGATACATGTTCAATCAAATCAAGAACAAAAAGAGAGAAATCTCATTTAATTCATAATATCAAAAATGTTCTGAGTTTTACAATGAAATAAATCTCCTATTTATACTAATGCTAGAAACCCTAATAAAAAGTAATCATGTCATAGAATATTGTCAAAATTGGAAATAAAATAGAATCTTAGAGTAACAAGGAAATCTCGCGAAAATAGAAAAATTTCGCCAACTTGTTCTCGTCATGTTTCTATGCGATCGCAAATCCAAAAGTACCATGAGCTCGCGCATCCTTGTGCGGAATTTTGTGTCATTTCCAGAATGTACTCATGGACGAAAATCCGACAACCGAGCTGAAAGTTATACCCGTTTTCATCCACATTACTCGTTTTCTTTCCAAATATTTTCCAAACCTTGAATCCAACTCGTTTAGGCTCTCGAGCCCTTCACGAGACTTGAACATTGGCTTGTCAACTTTTTCAATTTGGACTCCAAAACTCGACCAAGTAATTGCCTATCCCGGATGAAACAATGATTAAGTTCAGTTGTAATTTTGTTAACAGTCGTAACTTGTTCATGAGAATTCTGTTACCACATCAACAAATAAGGTAAAAGATTTTTTAGGGTGATGGAATGCAAAAGGGCAAAGTTCAGTGAGTACTATAAAATGCTTTGAAGTTTAGTGAGTACCATGACTATGGTATACATTGGGTAATTATTGAAACAATTAACTCAAAATTGATAGAAGAGAAATAAAGGATAGTGAAAATCCATGACAATGTAGAACAATAGCACTGGAATAAGAGACAACATAAATTCGTCTTAAACAAAAACAAGAATAGACAATATATGA